TCCCATCGCCATAAAGAAACCCCATTAAATCATTCTCTTGATTTCAATAACTAAGCAAGCCCACAAGTATTTAGTAAAATGATTTGGGATTAAACCCATTTTTGAAAACTCCACATTTTAGGTCACAAAAATCAAAATCAACATAATCAATACAATTCCACATAATCACCACAATTCAACATATCTTAACTCAACACCACTAATTGTAATTCGAAGTGTACTCCTAAATTTTCATTTCATCATTTCATCCCAAGGCTCATGTTATCCATATCATTAACTAATCCTTTTTCCCAAATTTTATTTCATATCATAGCACAATATCCATAAATAAGGTTCAATCGCTAATTTTTAACATGATTTTCAAACACTTTCAAAATCCAATTAAACTTGTACATATGTAATTCAACCTACCAATTTCATGAATCTATTTTCAATTTGAGCAAAATCATAAATTATCATAATGAATCAACTTAGGGTTTTCAAGGAAAATTAAGATTTTCAACAAAAATTCAAACTTCTTAAACCACTACTTTTAATTCCAATGTCCCTCTTGATTATACACCTAAAGTTCATAATCCACCACATTAACCCAACCATTGAACCCCCAACACTTCAAACCCTAAACCCCCAAATCTCATAATGTGCACTATATGCTTAAAAATGTAGGTTTTGTATGTATATAATCAAAATATCACAAATCTATCTATTTATGGAAGTATTGAAAAAGAACTAGGACCCCTACCTCAAGAATCAAGCAAGAAAAGCAAGCTTTGAGAAGAATCTTCCACAAATTCGAATTCCAATCGGGTGGAAAGTGAGATCTCCAAACCTTCTTCACCTTTTTGCAAGGGGTCTTGGCCAAATCTTTGAGGAATTGGAAGTATTGGGGTCGAAATCTCTAAGATTTTCGGACCTAGGGTGAGAGGAAGGAAGAAGGAAAAGAAATGTGCAAAGAATAATCTAGAAAACCACTTTTAAAATTGCTGAACTCGCGAAATCTGCTCGAGCGTCTCTTTTCCAGCTCGAGCGTTTCTGCTTCCAACACAGATTCTAAAACTTCGAACATGTATAACTTTCCCATCCGGACTTCATTTTAGGTCGCTCTTATGTCCAAATTGAAGCCTCGGAAACACGCTTTCAAATGGTTCTAGCCTCACATCCAAATTCAAAGTGTGGAAAAAGAAAAAAGGCAAAAGTGTGACGGCTGATCGTAGGCGAATTGTTCGAATTAAAGTTTTTGGTCCAATCTTACTCTACCATCATGTTACCACCTCAATCGATGCCCCAAAATAAAAATAAGGAGGTTCCAAATATACTAATAAAATGTCACAAACGAACCCATGTGCCTCAGAAATTCAAACTCAACCAGGCGACCCGCTCGAGCTCCCAACCTTGCACTCGAGCGCTCAAACCAACAAAGCCGTCCGCTCGAGCGACCACTTATACGCTCGAGTGGGAATTTACAACTCTCAGAATCTCGGGCAGCCTGGAAAAATATTGGGAGCCTCACAAGTCCACTCGAGTGTCAACTCCCCTGCTCGAGCGGAAGGAAAAATTCTAGATCGTCACAAAATATAATTAAACTAAAATTAGAATAAAAAGTTAAGAATTACAATAAATGATTAAGAATTTATAATTACTTGTGTTTTAATTGAATTAATGTTTAAATATTATAAACTATGTGTATTAAATTGTATTATACTCATTTTACATCTCTAGTTAACTATGTTAATGGTTGCAATTTAGTTCAAAATCACATGAGATCTTTTTGGCTATTTTTGAACTGTAAAGGTAAAGTGCTTTGGCTTGAAATCACAAGGGAATAAAATAAATTTTGCCTTATAAAAAATCTACATTTTATAAAAAAAAAAAATAGATGTATATTTTAAAAGTTGTAAGATTTTAAAGTTTTTGAAACGTTAAAAAAAAGAAAAAGAAAAAGAAAAAAGAAAAAAAATAAGTCTTTCATATAAGCATGTTAATCAACTAGGCCTAGCCTAGTTGGCTACTATGACTTTCCTAAGGGCTTAGTCCCTAGGGGAGGTCATAGGTTTAAATCTCCTTAAGGGAGTTAAATTAAAGAGGCAAATACTTAGACTTTGTAAATGATGGGAATGTTAACTTTCATGGGTGTTAATCTAACAATTAACAATTGATTTTTACCGATCAATATATATATATATATATATAAGCATGTTGACCAAAATAAGGATAAAATTGTCATAAAAAAAATCTAATTTCAACAAAAGGATTTCTAATATACAATTTCATTCATATATAGAATTTATTGGATCACATTTTATTTCCATAAAATTTATGACTAAACAAATTCCTGAAAAGAGGCTTTTCACTAACACTATATTTGAGAACCTAGGAGAGAAAAGAAAAGAAATGATTACTTAAGTTATAAGAGAAAAGAAGAGAAAAGAAAAGAAATGAAATGATTGTGATTTTTCTCCTTCTTATTTGGATAAGTAAGAAATAAAAGAAAAGAAATGATTGTGATTTCTCTCTTTCTTATTTAGTTAGATTTCATAAGAGAAAAGAAAAGAAACTGTTTTATATTATATCACCAAAAGCCCTTGAGGACATGGGTGTCAATCATTTTATTTCTTGGGCGAATTACACCAACAGTCCCTATAGTTTGGAGGTCATGTCACTTTGGTTCCTGACTTTTTAATTGTGACATATTTGACTCTGAATTTTGAATCTTGTTCCAAATAAGGATAATTGAAGATACCTTTGCTTAATTTCAAGGGTAAAATTGTCAATTTAATAAAATATAAACTAATTTGACAAAAATAAATGTAAAAAAATTATTTTTAAATTTTAAAAAATTATTTCTATCAACCAAAGATAAAATTATGTAAAATTGATAAATCATTTAGACATTTATTTTTTTTTTTACCAAATTAATTTTTATTATGTGTTTAGATGATGATCATGTAATGGGTAATTGTTAAGATTTTAATGTGCAATCGATATATTTAATATATGAAATATTTTTAGTTTTAGATTTTTTAATTTAATGGATTGGTTTAATAATGATATCAAAGTTGTCGTCATATTTAACTTTTGGAAAAATAAAAACTAATTTGATGAAAATAAAAATAATAACCCATTACATGATTATCATCCAAACATATAACAAAAATTAATTTAGTAAAATAAATAAATAAATGTCTAAGAGATTTATCAATTTTATATAATTTTATCTTTAATGGGTATAAATAATTTTTAAAAATTCAAAAATAATTTTTTTGGCATTTATTTTTGTCAAATTAGTATACATTTTATTAAATTGACCATTTTCCCCTTGAAATTAAGTAATAGTATTTTCAATTGTTCTTATTTGGAACAAGATTCAAAATTCAGGGTCAAAGTGTCACAATTGAAAAGTTAAAGACTAATGTGACATAAACCCCAAACTATAAGGACCATTAGTGTAATTTGCCCTTATTTCTTTTATTTTTACTGGGACAAAATTGATATTATGAAAATATAAGAATTTGTTGGTTTCTTTTTTCTCTCAATCTTTCCACTTTTGTGAAGATTGAAAATGAGGGTTATAAGAGAAATAGGTTTCTCTCTGTTTCTCTTTATTTCTCCTCATTTCTATCCACTTAAGTTATTTAAATAAGTAAGAGAAATACATATGTCTTCATTTCTTTTATTTTCTCTCCAAATCACTCAACTTAAATGGATTCTATTTTGTTGTGATTATTAACGTACAAATATTTGTGAATGCTTTATGTAGTATCTACAATTTCCCATCTCTCCTCAAGTGTTTCTCCGGAGTTTATCATATTTTCAGAATTAAAAAAAAAAAAAACAAGTTTTTGTTAGAGAGAGCCTTAATGTACATTAAACATTGTTTGATTCATAAATTTAGAGATGGATTTAGAAAGGAAAAAAAAAGGTAAAATATGAATGAAAAAAAATTGATACTGGAACATTGATGAATTATTTTTTGGTACAAAATTGAAAATTTTGTGTCTGTAAAGGAGCATGATGTTGAAAATTGATGTGCAAAACTGAAAAAAAAATTAAAAATGAAAGAACTAATAATGTTCTCAGTTTTAAAACTAAAAAAAATTGATAATATTCTCGATTTTATTAGATAGTTGAATCAACCAATAAGTAGAAGGGAAAAAATGTTTAATTCCATGCTATGTTTTTTTTATCAGTTAGTGAAATAATTATCCGAAACATTATTATTCAAAATTGATAATGTTATTAATTTTATAAATTAAGGAAAATTAATAATATTCTTAGTTTTACTAAATAAGAGTTATTGGTTCAAAAATCTTAGATAAAATCTGAGCTACCATAATATTTGTGAATAGGACTTTAATTAACTCTTTCTACATAGTTAATGTTAATTTCTTTTTCGTTTTTTTATTTTTCTAATCAGCAAAGGAGAGAATTTTATCTTCACTTTTTAGCTCTCTTCTTTGATATCTCTCTTTTTGTTTTTCTTGCAGATACAGATTGAGAGATCTTTATCCTTTGAAATTCGAATCTCAAACTAGTTTCTTCTTCAATATTTCTTTCAAAAAAAAAAAAAAAAGTCGAAAGATAAAAAATAAATAAAAAAAAAGAAAAAAAGAAAGAAAGAGAAAAGGTGGATTGAAAATGAGTGCCCTGCAAGGTGTATTTTCAAATGTAGGGGCAATTGCAGGGAGAATAGTTGAGCCAATAATCCAATTAGTGGTGCACCACGTTGGTTTTGTTTTTCAATACAAGAAGCATCAGAAGAAACTGGAAGTTGAAATTAAAAACCTTGAGAGCAGAGAAAACAAATTGAAGAAAAAGTTGATGAAGCCATTACTTGTGGTGAAGAAGTTGATGAAGCTGTTTCAAACTGGCTAGCAGAGGTGGAAGAAAGAGTTCAGAAAATTAAGGATGACAATACTATTAACGAAAACATGTAGTGCTTTAAATTCTCATGTCCGGATTACATCTTGCGCTACCGAATCAGCAAAGAAGCCGAAAACAAGATGGAAGAAGTAAAAAATCTCACTCAGAGTGGCCATTTTAGCACAGTTGCACATCCTAAGCCATTTGCTCAAGAACTTCAATTCACATCATCAAGTACATACTATGCGAATTTTGAGTCGCGAGAATTGATTTTCAATAACATCATGGCGGCATTACAAGATTCCGATGTTAAAATGATTGGAGTATATGGAACAGGAGGCGTTGGTAAGACGACAATGGTCGAAGAGATTGGCAAACAAGTGAAAAATGGACTTTTTGATGAAGTCCTGGTGGCAGTTGTCTCCCAGGACGCAAATGTGAGCAATATTCAAGGGCAACTTGCTGATCGCTTGAGTCTAAAACTAAAAGGGGAAATTGAAGTGGGAAAAGCAAATGAACTGTGGAATAGATTGAACAATGGGAAGAAAAATCTCATTATATTGGATGATATTTGGCAAGAATTGAACTTGAAGACAATAGGGATTCCTATCACTGATGGAAACAATTGTTGCAAAGTTGTGATAACGTCTCGAATCCGAGGTGTGTTGGAAAAGATGCATGTTGATAGATATGTTCCAATGCGAGTATTATTAGAGAAAGAAGCATGGGCCCCATTCAAGACGAAGGTGGGAAATTCTGTTGACTCTCCTGAACTCCATGATATGGCTAATGCAGTCTGTAAAGAGTGTGGAGGCTTGCCGGTCGCTATACTTGCAGTTGGAGCCGCATTGAAAGATAAGAAAAAATATGTCTGGGAAGATGAACTTGATCAATTTAAAGATTCCATGCTAAAGAATATTGCGGGAATCGACCCAAAGGTGTATGCTTCCTTAAAGTTAAGCTATCATCGGTTAGAATCTAGTGATGCAAAATCATGCTTCTTGCTATGTTGTTTCTTTCCTGAAGATGCTAATATTTCAATTGAAGTGTTGGCGAGACGCTGCATAGCGAGAAGTTTGCTTGGCCAAAACAGAAATACACTAATACGAGCAAGCCATCGAGTACGTATAGTGGTCGATATCCTCGAAGATGCTTGTTTGTTGTTAGAAGGCAAAGATGAAAACTTTGTCAAAATGCATGATGTCATTCGAGATGTTGCTCTTTCAATTGCGAAAGATGATGGCAAGGAAATTCTAGTAAAACATGGTGACAAAAAGTGGCCCGAGAAAGATACATGCGAATCTTCCTCAGCAATGTCATTAAGGTTCGACAACACTCTTGAGCTTCCGGGTGATTTGCTATGTCCACAACTCCACACCTTGACCATATTGAAAAGGAATTTCAGAAGGTATCCTTTGCTTGATGTTCCAGATAGGTTTTTCAGTGGAATGGAGAAACTTACAATTTTAGAATTGAATAAATCTGTATGCTGCCTCCATTATCTCTTGCACATTTGGTTGACCTTCGAATGTTATGGTTAGATAATTGTGAGTTGCGAGACATAGCTATACTCAAGGATCTAAATAATAACCTTGAAATACTTAGCCTTCGAGGTTCTAATATCGAGGTTTTGCCATCAAAGATAGGACAATTGACTCATCTTCGGTTGTTAGATCTGGGAAATTGTGAAAAGCTCACAGAGATTCCACAAGGTGTCATATCCAATTTGTCTCGCCTGGAAGAATTATACATTTTTGATTGCTTTGACCAATGGGAGGCCACAACAACCAACAACAAAGGAAGCAATGTGAGCCTTGATGAATTGATGAACTTGACGCAATTAACCACTTTACAGATTCACATACCAAATGTCATGCTATTGCCCGAGGACTTTTGCTTTGATAACTTGATCAGATTTAAAATAACAGTGGGTAAGAAATATAATTTTTTTGGTTTAAAGTCGTGTACACTTGCGGGTGTTCCCTTAATGGACAAGTTTATGGTTTTGTTGACGAGAGCTGAAGCGCTACATTTGGAAAAAATTGAAGGTTTACAAGAGGTGCTGCATGACAGAGGTGGACAGGGGTCTTTGATGGAACGTCATGGACTAAATCCATCAGGGTTCTTCAATAATTTAATTGAATTAACAATTCAAGATTGTAGGTTGGAATATCTCTTCTCCCTGTCCTGTGCAAGAGGATTTCCACGACTCCAGACACTACAAATATTTGATTGTGAGATGATGGAAGCAATAGTTGGAATTAAAGAAGAAAAAGATGAAGATGAACTCTCAAGTCAGGTAATTAATTTCAGTCAGTTGAAATATTTGTCGCTCATGAATCTACCCAAGCTCATAAGCTTCTACCCCAAAGTGGAGAAGATGTCAACATCTGAAGGAAATTCTTCTACCAAGATACAATCTTTGTTTAATGAAAAGGTACACTTTATCAATACGCTTTTCATTTGCTTTAATCCATTATATCTAGTTATTATAAAATGCTTTATGCATTAGGAATACAATCAAACAGTGCTAGGGTATTTTCAATAAAAATCAAAATTTTTAATCCCTAAAAAAATACCAAATGGTTGGTCACACAGTGGCAAGCATGAAATCATTACAACAAATTAAGATTTAAAAAATAAAAAAATATGAATAAAATTAATTTTTAAGAACAAAATATTTAAGTTGTCAAAAGTGTCGTCGTCGTATATTTAGCGATGAAATTAGATATTTAGGGATGAATTATTATCATTTTTTGACCAAAATTTGTCTAAAAAAGTGAACATCTTATGCACCAAATTGTTTTCTCTTCAAGTGTATTTATTAACCATATTTTTAAAATTTTGATACAAAAGTCTGTTTTTTGACGTTTAACAAAATTAGTCCCTAAATGTTTCTCCCTTCATTTTGGGGATAAAAATTTGATTTTTAAACCTCTTTCTCCCTTCCCACTATAAATGAAGAGAAATATCAATTATTTCTATTATTTCATTTCCACGTCAAATTTAATTAATCAAATTTTTTTGTCACCAAGTATTCCAAATGAAGTTTTAGGGATTGGTTTACTTTTAGATTTGCTACTAAAAAAAACTAATGTGCTCCAAGCCCCCTACCCATAATCTATATGAAGTAAAATTTAGATTAAGCCCCAAAGCATTAATCTAAATTTTTTATTTTAAATGTTAAAACTACGCATTACATAGAAATATTGGTCCATCTAATTGTATACAATAATGTGACTTTCCAAACTAGTTCAAATATATGTTGACATGTCGCGCCCCACTTTTAAATACTCGAAATCATTACCAAAATCCATTACTTTAAATCTAGTTCAGAGACAACATGCGGAAATAAGCTCAAATATTCGACTAGTGGAGTTAAACAATAATTCTCTCATTCGAATGCAAATTAAGTACAACATGAGAATTCTAAATAAACCGCCCGTAGGCTTACAACATTAAAGAATCAAAAGAAGGGTGCAACCCTTTACAACAATGGCATTCCGCCAACACAAAAGAGGCCCCGTGGCCAACAAATAAGAAGATCCAAATCTTGTAGCATATCCTGCTTAACACCTGAAAAAGATTCAACAACGTGGGATGAACATATAGTCCAGTAGGGATCTCAACACGATCCTCAACAATAACAACATACAGATAGCTATGATCATGAATGCCCAATCTCATACTAGAATAGTAATGTGATAGTTTATACAAAATATACATATGTATGAACTTTTCCTGAAATCAGTCATTTCATTCAAATCGACTCTATAAGCGGTTCATCATTCTTTCCTTTTCATTACCCCTTGTTCCCAAATTCTCATATCAATAACAACTTCTTTGGAAATAATTTCACTAAGCCCGTTACATTCCTCCCATTTTCCATACTTAAAACAGATATGCCCCTTTCAAAACATATTTTCAAATACTCAATTTCCTTCACACTTTCCAAAATCTCAAAATGGCATTTTGGTTTATTCCCCATTCATTCAAATCTATACATGCATGCCCTTAAATAAAAAGGAGATAACAAATTGCCAACGTGCGTATAAGCAGCAAATGAGGTAACTCGGCCCTCCAAAACTGTAACCATTACAACTCATGATACACTCAGACACGCCGAGACAATAACAACAAAGCTCTGTTCTACCGGCCAAATCAGTTCTCCAGGCGCTAAGCTGGAAGGTAGCGGTACCTCTAATTGTAAGCGCGGTCAGTTCTCCAGGCGCTAAGCTGGAAGGTGGCGGTACCTCTGATTATAAGCGCAGTACATAACACCAACCATCTCAATGTGACAAGGTACAACTAACAAGTGTAACACATATCTCAACACTTCATTACATATAATGTTCAATAGACACAGATGTAATGCACACACAACAATTCAATACAACAATGTCATCCTCCACCGATGACCAAGGACAAAACCTCTAGATGCATGTAATTAGTACATCTATTAAAAGACTCACTATCATGAGACTTTAAACCCAACAATGCCACAAGCACGACAATTACAAATTAAATTCCCCAAATGTGTGTAATCAACACTCATGATACAATAATCCAATTCTCATGTTTATTTTCCGAGGCTCACGAAAAGTTAACACTATATTTTCCACTTTTTAAAATCACCTATCACAATTTTCCAAATCAACATATTTTGTTACTTATTCCGAAACGCTATTCCCATTTCTCAAAACAAATTCCATTTCTTTGTTTTCACGAAACCAATTCCCTCATATCTTACTAAACCAATTATGCAATTTAATTCATAATGTTAAATTAGGGTTTTCTCCCCTCTTTCTCAATATTGACCAAAAGGCCCAAATAACAATAACAATACCACAATAACCTCATTTGAGACCCAACATATATAAGTATTGGCCCACAGAACAAAACCCCTCTTTTAGTTATTCAAATCAAAATATAAATTAGGGTTTTTCGTTATTTCAACAACAACATGCTATTTTACTTCCTCAATAGTCCAAAGGATAACCAATGACAATAAAACCATTCCCAATCAACCAATCCTAGGTTCCCTCATGATTTTCCAACAAACCCAGCAACACGGATATGATTTTTATGCTATATAAAACTACCACATGTCTATCTATAGACGAGGCATTGTAAAAGAACAAGGAAATCCCTACCTCAAATGGAGAACCCAAAGGGAAGAAGAGCAAAACTCGGAAGTGCTCCAAACTCCAACTTTTTCGGATTGATATGAAGCCCACACCGAGCTCCACACTTTTTACAAAGGCCAAAGGTGAGAAAAACACTCCTACTAGATCAATCCCTAGAGAGAAGTTATGTTTTTAGAGAGAGAAGCTCTCCAATGGAGTTTTGGAAAAGTAGGAGAGAGAAAGAAAGTCAACAAGTGATCCGAAAAGGTGAAGTCTCGAAGTGATATACAAACAGGTCTGCTCGAGCAGATAACAGGACGCTCGAGCGTCAAGTACAAAAACTGGACACGCTCGAGCGTAAAAAGACCCGCTCGAGCGCCAAGACACAAAAACGAAATACACCCGCTCGAGCGCGAAAGGAAGTCCGCTCGAGCGTAGATCTCCCCCTTTCAGTATTTTCACAGACACAGAACACCCGCTCGAGCGCGACCCGCTCGAGCGCGACCCGCTCGAGCGTGAAAAGCACATCTACAGAAGTTTTGCAGAGGCACAGATACTGGAAGTGCGCAAACTCCGCTCGAGCGTGAAATGGTCCGCTCGAGCGGACAACCAACAATCAAACTCCGCTCGAGCACAAAGGGATCCGCTCGAGCGTACCACCAAAAAAAACTGGGCAATAAGGAATGGGACTAAAGCTCAACCAACCTGTTAACAACTCTGCCCGATGCATCCTAAATCTCTAATACAAAGAGTAAAGGATGGAAAAGAGAATACGATAACAACACATCCACGGAACCGAGTCCGGAATATAATAAAATAAAATAAAATAAAAAGAAAATCGGGATCGCTATATGACAGGTAAATTAACCTAGTAAAAAACTTATGCCAGCATGCTTGCATGTTTTTTTTAAAAAAAAAAAAAAAAAATCAATAGAAGATTAATTATAAATACGAGAAATACTATATCAAACTGGACAATTAAAATTCAACAGTAGACAAAGCCATATATTGTATCAATGGAAAATGCCAATTGAGTTGTGATACACACAATAGCTCGAAAATTTCCGAAATTCTAACGTTTATGCTATGAAAAACTTTTGAGACTCCGAAAAAGGTTCTTTCAATTTGATCAACGACAATGGTATGATCTGTTAAGTGTGAATTTTTAATTTATCACAAATCTAGTCATATAAGACATAACTGCCTTACAACATCATTTTGGATGAATTATAATATTTAAATTGTGCTTTTCTAATATTTATATTATAAAATTTAATAGTAAATGAGATTCAAACTCAAATATTACCATCAAGCCTAGACACCAGAAAAAATACTCTTATTTAGGAGATTCTATAATTTTCTAATTTCAATATTCTAGGTGGAATTTAGCGGTTGTTTGGAAAGTGTTAGATTAGTATACTTTTTGACTTTTTACGACAAAACGTAAAATATGGGTTGGATTTGAAGTGATGTGGTAAAGAGGTGATGTGACTACAATAAGATGATTGTGACCCAAATATGATAATGTGCTAAAATAGCATGTGCTATTTTAGCACATGCCAAACAAGCACTTAATGTGTTTTTAAGTTGGGAAATTCTACAATATACACCATTTAAAAGAATTATTTTAGTTATGATTCATGAGATCATATGCATCCCTAATTATGTCATTTTCCTCTTTAGTTATGATCTATTTTTTTCTTTAGTAATAACATTATTTTAGTTTTGACTTATAAGATCTTTGGTTATACCTTATGTGGTGTTTGATTATTATTATTATTATTATTATTATTATTATTATTATTATTAAGTTATGACTTAAAAAATATAGAATTATGTAATTTTTTCTTTAGTTATAAAGTGCATATTTGAAAGGTTTGTATCATAATATTTCTCCTTTTAAGTCTGAACAACTTTTTGCCATCTAAAAAAAAAGTTTGAACAATTTTCTTCAACACACCACATTTTCCCACTAAAAGTGAAGGATTATATAATTTGTATGCTTTAACTGAATTTAGGCCGTGTATTTGATGAAATGAAGAATTTAATAATTTTGCTAAATTGTGTTAAGGTGCGGGAAAAGTAATTATGGTATGACAATATCGTTTTTATTCCTTTTTAGGATAAAATTGTACTAGTGTTCCACCTGTGCTATGCACGGGTTGTGTTTGTAATTATTTGTATATATATGAATTGTGATTTTTAATTTTTTTTAGCACACAGAAAAAGGAATATAACAAATGTTACATATCTTCAATCAATTGTTTTATATTTGGTTTTATTCAAAATTTAAAAATAATGTACGAGCAAA